ATCAGAGCACAGGTACCACTTCTGAAGCTGCCTCATAATCTAAAAATTTCGTATAACCCTATCAAAGATAAATTTAATTTCAGTGTCAACACTTGAGTCATGAAAACCAAATATGATTACAAAATGCATTCAAAATTCACAGACGTGACATAGACAATCTTACAAAAATGTAAATAACCTCTAACAAAATATATCTAGTCATAATAAAAATAATTTATTTTATAATACTAATTCAAATTTTCATGGTCATAAATAGTTCAATAAGCAAAAATAAGTCCTAATCAGATGGATTAAGCAATAAATGCCGGAATAACAATCTAAAAATATAAATAAGGTTTTTCTATATAAAATTATTATTTTGATAAATTTAGCAGGCAAAGGTCATCAAATCGATACATTATATAACATGTATGTGTATGTACATATACGTATGATCTACTGTACCAAAGTTGAAAAAGTAAAATTAGATAAAGTTCTATGATTTAAGATATTTTTTATCAAAGTGCAAATACTTAATTGGGATTGCTAACACAAGATGCGGAGAAGATCGGAGTCGGCAACTGGAAAATTCAAGCAAGGGACAGAACAGAATGGCGTAGAAAGCTTGAGAAGGTCGAGGCCCTCTAAGGGCTGTAGCACCAAGATGATGATGATGAACTATGATCATTAGACAAGCATTTTTTGCACTTAACGTCTACTAAAGAATCAGGAGACGATTTTCATACTTTAGGGGTTCTTTTTAAGGTATGGAATTATTTCATACCAAGTGGTATATTTGTGGAGTTCTTTTTGCGGTGATACCAATTTCATGCTCCTATAATAAAATATGACTTTCTGTTGAACAAATCCTTTTTTGAATTTTCATAGGTTTATAACAACAATCTTTATCTATACATTATTTGTATTTATGGATCACCTGACTCTTCTACGGAATGATTTCTTCAGAACCTGTTAAATTTGTAGACAATCTGTCCAATAAAATCAGAAAGATTCTATGCAGTGACTTGAATATTAATTACGTTGTTGCTTGTGTAATCCAAGTATCCTTGGTCAATATATTCGAATTGTATGGTTTCACAATACACGTTAATTCTACTACAAGAATTACTAAAACAACATCTACCATAATTGTCTCAGATTTCTCACCCCTTGATGTACGTTCACATAACCTGGACAAATCACGCAACAAATGTCGAAGTAATAAATCGAATGGGCAGAGAACGAGAATTGCTGCTAATAATAAAAATAAAAACTGTTAATCTGTATCATATATTTCGAAATTCTGAGTACCAGTTCTTAAAGCTTATTATGGAAGGGAAGATAGAAGAAAAACGGGACATCGGAAGAAAGAAATACGCATGGCTTAAAAACATAAGGGATTAGACAAACCTTGATGCCCATCCACTCTTTAGAGCCACACAAGATCGAGACCTGTATGCCAGACTTGTCGCCAACATCCACTAATTGGATAGGGCACCATAAGAAGAAGATGTATGTTCTACAATTATTATTAATGCATGACTCTCTGACCATGAAGCAGTATATACCTGTTTACCGTTAAATAACGAAGTTTAACATTCTTAACAAACAATCCTCGAAAACCCAACGGTTAAGTAGGATTTTTTCAGCCCAGAACTTTCGTAAATTCCAAAATTTGTGCTTGACTTCTGGATGGTACTTTCCCTCTGTGGATGTGGACTGTAATTTCAGTAATTTTTAGATAAGCTTATTTTCAATAAGGCATTTGCTTTAATTACAATTTAATTACAATTGAGTCAAAACATCACAAACCCCGGACTACCAGGGGTATCCGCATATCAGCCAAGCATATGCCTTGACTACTGTACATCAAAAAATTTACTACTAATGTCTTTGTCCCTAAATATATTTCCAAGTACAGAGGAACTTATCAAAACAGCTGAAAAAATGTGCTATAAAAATCGTCTGGGAAGCTCTAATAATGTTGCAAGGGAAAACTAACACAGCTCAAACATTTTCTCTTCCAAACCCTGAAAATCTAAATAAATACTTCATTAATGTGAGTAAAAATATATCATCAACTATTTTGCCACAACAAGATCCTATTTCCTATCTTCCCAATTCAAAAAAGGTCTCGAATTAATTCTTTATAACACCAGTTGATAAATCTGAACTGATCCAGACAATCAGTACCTATTGCCTTACTACCTGTCCTATCCAAAATTATTGAGAGACTTATAAAAGCCCGACTTATGTCCTTTCTCATTGAAAACAACATTTTATCACAAAGTCAGTTCGGATTTTTATCTAATAAATGTACCAGCGAGGCTATCTTTTCTGTACTACATGAGGTCTATCAAGTACTAAACAATAATCTTTATACTGCCACTGGTTTTGTGACTATGCCAAAGCTTTTGATTGTGTAAATCATGACATTTTGATAAAAAAACTAAATTTCTACGGATTTTGAAGTATTTCTTTGAATTGGTTCCAATCTTACTTGAGGAATATGAAACAAATAGTTCGAGCTAATGATACTGACTCTAGTCACAAAAGCATTGTATGTGGAGTACCACAAGGTTCAGTACTGGGTCCTCTACTTTTCCTTATCTTTATAAATGACATCACTAACTTAAAAATCGATGTAAAAATTTTTCTTTTTGCTGATGATATACTCCATTCGCTTAGCTCGGGCATATTTTGACAGATTCATTGTCGGAAACCTACAACACAACAATTCCTACTGCTCAGTATTAATAGCTTAAGTATACTACTATTGCAGACTTCTTTCTTTGAAAAAAGAAGAATAATTATTCCAAATAGTGAAAGTGCATACTAAACCCATCAAATTTTGGGTAGTATATATTTAAAAAATATATTTTAGTTGTTATAATTTAACATAACTATTTATTATATGGTGCAGATAAATAAATATTGATTGTCGGTAATTCGCAAAGTTCTATTTGATTTATTATTTAGTTTGTTTACTATTAATATGGGCTATGAGTATGTGTGCTTGGTTGTATAGTAATTTCCATCCACTTTTAGTGTGTCAAAAAGTAACTAACTTTGCAAAAAAATAATTACTAAATTTACTTGACAGTTCGGACTGGGAATAGGCTGGACACATAATATAAATGCCAGAAAATATGATTGCTAAAAAGCTAACCACAGGAACACCTGTAGGAAGAAGAAGCAAAGGCCGACCGCGAATTAGGTGATTAGATGGAGTTGAAACCAACTTACGGATATTAAAAATCAGAAGATGGCAACATGTTGCCAGAAACCAAATAGAATGGCGACGAATCTTAGAGCAGGCCAAGATCTACAGAGGATTGTCAAGCCAAAGATGATAATGATGAAATTGTTCTCAAAATACAAACATTAGTAAATTAAACAAATTATGTTTAATTTAGAGTAGAGTAGAGAAAATTTTTATTTACATACATTTTTAAATATCATTGTGCAAGTAACATCAAATTATTAATTACACATTGAAAAAATGTATATTGACATCACACATTTAAAATATATTAACATTACAAATTAAATATGCTGATCAAGGAGAATGATAGGCCAGGCACACCGCTACAGTATAAGGCTCAATGTCAACTAAGTGTTGAAAAACCTTTCTTTTAAAAGCTCTATAATGTGTTTCCTGTTGAATGTCAGATGGTAGCCAATTATAAAATTTAACACAGGAATACAAAGGACTTCTCTCTTACTAATGTAAACTAACAGCAGAGATGAAAACACATTGGGACAGAGCTAGAAGTACAGATATATGATGTAATGCAACATGAAGAACATCAAACACCAATTAAGAAATAAAAGAGCAGAATGGAATGATCAAATAAGCCTAATGACAACAGTAAAGCTGATCAAATAAGCCTAATAGAGTAGTAAAGACTGCAAGAGACAGTTCCCCAAAAGGAGAACAATCAGTAGAAAGACCACAAAACAATAGGACAGCAACTTAAGTAGTGGCACATTAAAAAAGAGACAGTCATTTCTACATAAAAAAAGAATATGTAAGTTACAATATTTTGTATACATTTTCTGTTTTCTCCCTTGCATTCGATTTTACTTTGCCCAAACTGCAGGTATCTAAAGCACCGCTAGATATGCAGTCTCTCTTGTATCGTGCAAGATGTGACTTAGTTGTCAAAAAAAAAAAAAAGATTTCCCCCACCGTTGTCAAAATTCAATAGATACCTTCTAAGGCTCTTACTGGAATCTGACAATAAAAAAAATTGACATTTTACTTTAAATAAGTTTATTTTTGTAAATTGCAAATGATTTCCGAAGTGAAAAAAGAAAGGAAGCTTATTTTGGAAGAAAATAGTGACGTAATACCAATAAAAATAGTAAATTGTTTTAAGGTGCCACAAGAAAATAGCTTCAGAACAATATTACGAATATATGGGTAAAGAAATAATAACAAAGAAAATAAGATGAAGTTTAAAATGTCAAAAATCCACGATAACCATTGTACACTATAGGAATTGACTGTATTCTTTATAGTTGAGTCTCAGTGTCCATTGGAACAAGAAAAGGTAGCATAAAAATTGATTTGGTTCAACACATGAGGAACTGTTACCATAGTCACTGCAACATATTAGCTGTTGCTGAGCTTACCACTGCACAAGACAACCACTAAATTGTATTTGAAGAAACAGGTGGATTTTAATTTTGCAATTTGGCAAAAATAATCTACACAATATTTTGTCTGTGAATTTATTTATACTGTGTCACAACTGGGATAGTATTACATGTTATGATATATTCAATCCATTTAAAAAGATTTACAGCAGTACAGTCCAATTAAAGAGAAATAACAATAATTTTATGTTTTAAATGTTAACAATATCTTCTTTTCCAAATTTTTATATCAATATGTAATGTTTAATAAAAGCGTATATTAAAAAAATTATTATATTAGAGTAAGTAAATACGTTAAAAATAGTAACATATATTTATATTTTCGCTTCATTTAAAAAAGTTATAATATCATCAATTACAATGTTAAAAACATGAGTATAATTGTCCAAATTGCTATTTGATGACTTGACAATATCTTGAACCTTTTCAACAAACTCTTTTTGAAGATTATTTATTTCATTCTTCATTTTTGTCTGATTAACAATGCTTGAGGTAATTTGTTGTACAGGCACATGTGAGTTGTCCATATTGTTAAAGCTGGTGGAATTTGAGTTATAGTCAGTGGCCCCTGTTGGCTTAGGTGTAATTGTATCTCCTCCTAGTTCCTTGACTCTATCAGCATATCTAAGTGTATTTAAAGTGTTTTCACATGAACTAACATCTGGAGAAACCATAGCAATCATGCAAGTTTTTGAGTTGACACCAACAAATGAATCCCTTAGTACTTGTGTTAGTTTAGAAGCTCTGAAAGGAAGATGTGCTCCTTTTCTGCCTAATGCTCGTATACATTCTTTAAGTGAAAGTAATGATTGGTTTATTTCAGAACCTTCCAATCTAGTCAATTTTGAAGAAGAAAATGTGTCTGCACCACGTTCATTCCCTGCAAGATCTATTAAAGAAAATTTCCCATGAATTTTTTTCAGGTTAGAGTTTCTTCTTAAATAAATCTGAAATATTGCGTGGGATCGGGAAGAATTGGCATTTGCAGATGTTTGTCCAGAGGCTCTCACTTCATTTCCTATTTTAATTAATTGTAACACTTCTTGTACAGAAGAAACACTATGTTCTGTCAATCCTACTACTTGAACTTGTTGTTTACCATCTTCGAGTATTTTAAGAGTTCTTTTATTATTTAATAAGTCTGAAATTTTTTTGACATATATTTCAAAGAAACTACAAGATACACTTAAACCCAAATTTCTGTACTTGGCTGAATTTATGTCTCTAAAAATGTCAGCTGCAGTTAGAGCATAAATACCTTTTTGATTGGCATCGGTTAAATTACCACTCATTGTATATGTCTTTCCAGAACCAGTTTGACCATATGCAAAACATGTAGCAAAACCTCCTTCAAATACTGTCTTAACAAGTGGTTGAGCTGTGTATTTATAAACCATAAAATTTGAACAGTTTTCGTTGAAAGCATAATCAAATGTAAATACATGGTTTTCAAGATATCTAGTGAGATCTACCTTAAATTTTGGCTCATGAATTATAAGTTGGTTTTTATTTGGAATTGTTACTATATCAATTTCCTTCTTCATTAAATCACTACCATTTAAAGGTCTCTTCCTAACAGCAACAGTTATTAAATGGTCCTCAATATTGTTATCTTTGGAAGATAAAGGTTTGAATTCAATTTTATTCCTGTACTCTATAATCATATTACCTAGTTCCCAATGGGGATTGTGTTGATTCTTTTTCACTATTGCTTCCTTTTCTGCTTTAACTTCAGCATGCTTTTTTCTTCTTTCTAGGCGGTCTTTTTCAAGTTTACTTAGTTTTTTTACAGTAGCACTTTCTTTAACTTTACCACTATACTCTATAGCAGAACGAGTTGTTTTACTATTTATTAGTTTACTATCAACTGATACTTCACTGGTTTGTCTAGAGTTTATAATACTATTATATATTAACCTTGGTTTGGCAGAATGAACCCTAGAATCTTTACTAAAAGCTGAAAATTTTCTTTTACTTTTGTTTGAGAAACTATCATCAGCCACTTTACTTGTAGTAAACTTTTCTCTTGTTGCAGTAGATGTTTTGAGTATTTGTATGTTTGGATTCAGTGTCATAATGTTAGCAAAATGTACATCCTTGCCTTTGGACTCTCCATTTTCTAGCCACTCTACTTTGGCACAATTTAGTTCTTGATCAATACATGATACTATTGCCTCCTGAATTCTGCCATCTCTTCTTTTTATATTTATTAAACTTCCAACAGTAAGAGTATTCATGTTAACTATGGCATATTAATAATAAAAATGAAAGAATACTGACATCTGCCAGATATCCAAATTTGGAAAACCATGGACAACAAGATTTATAAGTAACACAAACTGATTTTTGTAAGGTCAAATAGTTTGGTTGAATAAAAACGAAAGCCAATAATAAGACCAAAAATTAACATACCTTAACTCCTGGAGAATTTATAGTTATTACTCCCACATTATCCACAACTTTTAATTTGAAATGTTTAAGTTCCAAAGAAGACATACATCTCGTTTGACCTAAAACAAATAATATATTTAAATGAAAATATTAACCATATTAATAATATTAACCATACTAAAGACCGGTGTTCAAAAAATTAAGATTAAAATTTTGCTTACATAGATTGTATGTTTGAATATAATTTTTAGACGTTCTAGAAAGTGCCCCCAAAAAACGTATGGTAGACATTTCAACTGTATTTACTTAATGTTTCAAACACAAACCCTTGGACCCCAATTCCAATTACAAATAATAGTCTCTACAAAATTAAACCTGGACTTTGACCCGAAAAAATGGACTTGGAACTTGTAACCTAAAAATGATGCAAAATAATATTGACTTTGACAGGTAAATTAAATGACCAACTTATTCCAACCTTCCAACACCAACACGTATGACATTTGTTGGCAGTACTGTCGTACTGTCATCAAAAATCTTTTGCTTTTTATTTTATAACCTAAAATTTTGTCAACCGTCGTTGTAACAGGTATTGACGTAGAGCTGTTAAAAGTGTCTTTTATTTTTATAGGAAAGAATATTAAAAATACCAGATTCAAAAATGGAATCAGCAGATATAACTGAAGAAGATCTACTAAAAAAGCACAGACAAGAGAAAAAAGACTTACAATCGAAAATACAGGCACTAAAGAAAACTGTTCCTAAAGGTGATAAAAAGAAAAAGAAAGAAATAACTGAAGAAATCGCAAAACTAGAATTAGAACTAGAGGAAAAACACAGAAAGGAGCTTGGCGAAAACAATATTTGCTCAGAACCGCTCAATATTAGTATGGAAAACGGCGAAGAAGATGAAAGTGAAATGACTGAAGATCAAACAGTAGAAAATGGAATTAATAGTACGCGTATATCTCGAGCGCAAAAACGACGAAATAAAAAAGAACTCGAAGCAAAGGAAAGGGAAAAACGAATTTTAGAGCAAGCTGAAAAGAATAAAGAAGGGCCCAGAATTGTAGAAACCAATGCTATTAAACAAGTGCTTAAAACCATGAATTTAAAACTTCACAATATTCCTGCAGACGGAAACTGCCTTTATTTAGCTGTAAATCATCAGTTGCAAGTTACTGGAAGACCAACTAAGTCTGTAAATGATCTAAGGTACCACTTCGAAAATAATTTCAAATCCTTGCATGCATCGTAGCTCAGGGAAATAGCAAAAAATAATAAAAAAATTAAAGAGACTCATCTGCCAGGTATGTAAAAACCAAAAAAAAAACTGCCAAAAACCTATACTTTTTTGTAGTAAATTAGGTGGTGATTTTAAGTTATTAACAATTACATGTTGGAAAATTTTTGATGGTTTTATACTTCCTTGCCAGTAAAAAGTAAAGCATTTAAAATTAAATTCAAGGTTACTATATTATAGTATTAAGCTTTTTAATGAGGTTTTCTGAATTTTGATGTATTTTTTTGTTGCTTAACATTAAAACACTTTCACAATAAGAAACCAATTGGACTGCAACTAAATAATATGTATTGGATACTAGGTCGAAAATCAATGACTAGATATCAATGTAAAATAAGATAATATACAAAACTATTCTAAAACTGATCTGGACTTATGTTATAGATATGTGAGGAACTGTATGAAGTATGGCTATATATTTGTATTGATATACTACGAAGATTATACTCTAAAATTGTTAGGATAACTAAATGCCCTTTAGTATGTGCCAAATACCAACATAGCACAAGACCTAAAACTAAAGACTAAAGTAAGAGATCAGTAACTACAGCCTCAGTGAGATTTGATCAGCGACTTAGGGAACATCCAAGTATTCTGACTCAGAATTTGATGAGATCAAAATACAGACAATGAAGATTCAAGCAACTTGCTGAAAAGATTTTAGATGAAAAAATTCCCAAGTTGTAAATGGTGCTGTAGATGAAAATATAGGGAATAACATTGGACTTTTCCCTTCAGGTCAATTTGTATTTTAATAATTATAAATGATTTAACATATTTTAACTATTGTAGTAAAGACTAAATAAAATGTAAAATTTAAATAAATCACATCTACTTTGTTTGTAACAATTAAGAAACCTAATTAACTCCATTAGGATGATATTTTTTTTAATGGCACTGTTTGTGTATAGTTTGCAATAATAGATTGATTGTTCATTATTTCTTTAATTATTTTGATATTATAACTTACTCCTTCATAAGACACCAGTTGAATTATTGAAACTTAATTTTTTCTTAGTTATTGTTATATATCATCTCTCTCTCTCTCTCTCTCTCTCTCTCTCTCTCTCTCTCTCTCTCTCTCTCTCTCTCTCTCTCTCTCTCTCTCTCTCTCTATGTCGCTCTCTCTATCTTTCATATTCTTGTAGGAACCTTCATAAGACACCAGTTGAATTATTGAAACTTAATTTTTTCTTAGTTATTATATATCATCTCTCTCTCTCTCTCTCTCTCTCTCTCTCTCTATGTCGCTCTCTCTATCTTTCATATTCTTGTAGGAATCACTCTGAAATTTGTATACAATATCAAGGTTGTATATTGATTTGCACAGTGGATAATAAAGTTCTTTTACAGTTTTCTAAGCACAAATATGTACCTCAACATCCAAGAAAACATCACTAAAGATTTTTACATGAATTAGAAGGTAGAGATCTTAACTTTTATTTTGAATACTTACTTTTTACTGTAGGTTAACATAGCAAAAAGTGTACATTTTTTTACTTGTAATTATTAATAACTAAAAACTACCATCTAATTCGCTACAAAGTATTTATTTTTGTCATAGAGTCACATTCTATCTACTAAAAACATCTTGTCAAATACCTGGCTGAGTAGGAGTTCTGGGAAGAAGCTTATTTCTTTGAGCTACAGGTAGATAACTAGAGAGTGATTTTTATTTGTATTTATTTTATTTTACCAGAAATATCTTCTTGTGATTTTGAAAGTATATGCTTGTGGAATATTACTTTTTAATTAACACATGTTTTTGGAATTAACCACAAATGTAATTATCTTAACATTTCAATAATGGTTTTCTAAAGAGCTAGGGGACTTGACGTAAAAAGACTTGCCCACTCTCGATATATTAAGGAACCATCAGAAATCCTGATGGTAAAAAAATAAAGTTTGCTAATTTACGAGTTCACTGTAAATGGTTGTCTAACGAATGCTCTGCTAACTATATTAGATCTTTTATTTGCTCCATGTGTGACTGACTTGACACCTACCGCCTTCATCTGAAGGTTTTGGACCTCGCAATTTTCAGGTTAAACATATGACATATGTTTAACATTGTCAAATACATGTGAAATTGACAATTATTAATAATTAGTTTTTTAATTATACTTATTTTTTGTTTAGCTACAAAATAAATCAAGTTTTTCACGAGAAAGAGCATATAATTAAAAACAATAATAGTAAAAGTTATAATATAAAAGCCTAAGTCATCAGGCACTCTGCAGTTAGCTTGAAGCCTTATGAAAGCCTATCATTTAAGGTAAAATATTTAAATGTTTCCTATTTCAATTGCATAAAAATGAAATTATGTGATATTTACTTTTTCATATTAATACCACGAATCCATCTTTTTCTTTTCTGTAATTTATATGTAATTTTTGGGAATCTATAAAACTACACTCACTATCTTTGGTATTAATAGCACAATTAAATACGCAATATGTATTTACACACATTTTTGATAAAATTTATGCATAAAAGATAGGTAAAATTTTGTCATATTTCGCCACTATGCACGCTGGCATCGTTTCAAGGTACCCCTACCATGGTCACGCACGGAGCTAATAGTAAAATAAAAGGCAACCTCAAGTCATTTTGGAAATTTCTAAATGATAAACAGTCTACTCATAGATTACCAAGTTTACTATTTTATGGTGACCATTCAGCTTCTAATTATCAGAATATTACAAATTGATTTAAGGAAGTTTTACAGACAGTTTGTGTTGACAATCAAGATTACTGTTGACGATTGTAGATGAAAATGTCAACTTGAACTTCCTAATAAGTTATTTTTGGTCCCAGGTGAACTGCTTAATATTTTTCTTAAAGAGTGTGTATGTTCAAAAGTGTTGCCTTTGTTTCTTCTTTTTAATAGATCATTAAGAACATCAATTTTTCTGGGTCTGAAAGGAGAGCTTTATTGTAGAAATGTTTCAAAACCTCGTGAACCTTGTAAATAAGTATGCCTGACAAAATAAATGAAACCTAAAAACATGCACCATTTTAATTTCGTAGGAAATTAGGGTAGGATTAGCATGTCAAGTATTTCCAATAAAATTGACATATTATGTTTCTCTAATCTTCAGTTAGTCATCGCATTTTTATTTTACCTCACACTGAAAGATCTCATTTTCTCACATATACCTGATCTAAATGTGTGTATGCCGGTCAATCCATTGTTTTGTGAATCATTCACGGATAAGTCATATGAATTTTTTATCCCTATTGGCTATTTTAAAGAGTCAGTTTTTTATGAAGACTATGTTTATGAGTTCAAAAACTGTAATTTTAATTCTCTTAACCGTGTCTTCAGTTAATTGGGATGCATTATACCTTTGTAATAATATAAATGAGGCTTGTCAAATATTTTACAGCTATATGTATCAGTGTTTAGATATTTTTGTTCCTATGAAGGCTGTCAAGTGTTCCTACAAGTTCTCAATAAAACTTAAAGATCTTATTATTCAAAAGACAAAAAGCTCATCTGAGGTTTGAATTATCTAAATCAAACGAGGACTACTTATTGTTCTCTAATCTGCGTGATTAATGTAAAGTTGAACATACACTTTGTCAGAAACAACATTTTTCGTCTCTTGAAAAAAAATTTAGTAATAACCCCAGGGAATTTTGGGGATACATTGGCAGACTTCGTAAATCTTCGATTTACCCCAAAGAAATGTATCTCGGTAACAGAAGGGCACAGGGCAATATCGAAATTGCTAACCTTTTTGCTGAGTTCTTCTCTGGTGTATATGAGAAAGATAAAAGTGCTCCCATTCCAGATTTTGAAAACTGTGTCAGACACATTGACCCTGTAAACCTAATTCAAGTTGACACTATATCAGCGTTTGATGAATTAAGAAAACTTCCAAACAAATTCTCAGGGCCTGATGGAATTCCACCAGTATTATTAAAGCACTGTCTTTGCTCTCTTACTATGCCCCTAAAATATCTTTATAATTTATCTCTTATGACTGGTAAGTTCCCTCCTTTCCGGAAGAACAGTTATATTGTACCCATTTTTAAGTCAGGTAAAAGGGAAGATATTAAAAAATACTGAGGAATTTGTATACAGTCAGCAATCCCAAAACTTCTCGACAAACTAGTGACTTCTCACTTATCAAAACTAACAAATAATATAATAATACCCCAACAGCAAGGCTTTCAAAGGGGGAGGAGCACAGTGTCAAACTTGTTGGTCTACAAAGATGATATATTGGGTGTCTTTGAGAGGAGGTACCAGGTGGACAGCATCTATACTGACTTCTCAAAGCATTCGATAAAGTAAATCATCGTTATGTAATCAGTAAATTAGGAGCCATTGGTATAGCTGGCAAATGGCTTGATTGGTATGATACTTTTCTTGTGGATAACACCCACAGCATTAAGATAAATGGTGTGTTGTCTCAATATGTTGACATCCTCTCTAGAGTATCACAGGGGTCACATTGTGGTCCTCTCCCTTTTGTTAACGATGTTGAGAAAGTCAATAACAAATCAATGTATGATAAAAAATAATAGGATTTTGATTTTAAATTAAGCAGAATATGTTAATACGAGACGAAAACCTCGAATTCCTTGAGAAAAATATTCCCATGAGATTTTTTGCATAATCACTTTCATAAAATACTGCAGAATAATGTTCAAGAGGTAGCGCATACAAACAGTGGTCCTAATTTATTAAACAGTTTAGTATTAATCCACTTTTAGGTTATGATAAGGGCCTCAAACAACTAAAAACAATGTTTTAAAATCAATAAGCCCAAACTAAAGTATCAGAAACTGATAGAACAAGGTTACACACTTTTGAAAGTGAATTTAAAAAAAAATGTTACAAACTACTTGAAACGCACTGAACATAAATAGTACCTCACTATACAATATTAAAAACGATTGT